TAGAGTGCCACACAGGGGGGCAGGAGGGACCACCACCCAGAGTGCCACACTGGGGGGCAGGAGGAGGGACCACCACCCAGAGTGCCACACTGGGGGGCAGGAGGAGGGACCACCACCCAGAGTGCCACACTGGGGGCAGGAGGGACCCACCACCCAGAGTGCCACACTGGGGGGCAGGAGGAGGGACCACCACCCAGAGTGCCACACTGGGGGGCAGGAGGGACCACCACCCAGAGTGCCACACTGGGGGCAGGAGGGACCCACCACCCAGAGTGCCACACTGGGGGCAGGAGGGACCACCACCCAGAGTGCCACACTGGGGGACAGGAGGGACCACCACCCAGAGTGCCACACTGGGGGCAGGAGGGACCACCACCCAGAGTGCCACACTGGGGGCAGGAGGGACCACCACCCAGAGTGCCACACTGGGGACAGGAGGAGGGACCACCACCCAGAGTGCCACACTGGGGGCAGAAGGGACCACCACCCAGAGTGCCACACTGGGGGCAGGAGGGACCACCACCACCCAGAGTGCCACACTGGGGGGCAGGAGGGACCCACCACCCAGAGTGCCACACTGGGGGGCAGGAGGGACCACCACCCAGAGTGCCACATGAGTGCAGAGTGTTGTCGGCACTCTGGCGGCCTTTACAAAATTCCTGGACGTATTTATCTCTTAAAACCTTAACGGCAGAACAGTATTTCTCTACGCCGCTTCGACGTAATTGGAAATAACCTTTACCGAGGCTGCATTTTTATCAACAAGGCTTTTGGGTTAATGAAACTATTGAGTTAATGAAACCTTGATCTACACTGTGTGGAGAATTATGTGTGCTGTTGCCAGGTGGGCTGTGGAGGCGTCTCTGGGGGTGTGTTCTGGGGGGTGGAGGCGTCTCTGGGGGTGTGTTCTGGGGGGTGGAGGCGTCTCTGGGGGTGTGTTCTGGGGGGTGGAGGCGTCTCTGGGGGTGTGTTCTGGGGGGTGGAGGCGTCTCTGGGGGGGTATGGTGGGCTGTGGTGGCGTCTCTGGGGGGGTGTTCTGGGGGGTGGAGGCGTCTCTGGGGGTGTGTTCTGGGGGGTGGTGGTGCTGCCAGGTGGGTGTGGAGGCGTCTCTGGGGGTGTGTTCTGGGGGGTGGAGGCGTCTCTGGGGGTGTGTTCTGGGGGGTGGAGGCGTCTCTGGGGGTGTGTTCTGGGGGGTGGAGGCGTCTCTGGGGGTGTGTTCTGGGGGGTGGAGGCGTCTCTGGGGGTGTGTTCTGGGGGGTGGAGGCGTCTCTGGGGGTGTGTTCTGGGGGGTGGAGGCGTCTCTGGGGGTGTGTTCTGGGGGGTGGAGGCGTCTCTGGGGGTGTGTTCTGGGGGGTGGAGGCGTCTCTGGGGGGGTATGGTGGGCTGTGGTGGCGTCTCTGGGGGGGTGTTCTGGGGGGTGGAGGCGTCTCTGGGGGTGTGTTCTGGGGGGTGGTGGTGCTGCCAGGTGGGTGTGGAGGCGTCTCTGGGGGTGTGTTCTGGGGGGTGGAGGCGTCTCTGGGGGTGTGTTCTGGGGGGTGGAGGCGTCTCTGGGGGGGTCTGGGGGGCTGTGGAGGCGTCTCTGGGGGGGTCTGGTGGGCTGTGGAGGCGTCTCTGGGGGTGTGTCTGGGGGGTGGTGGTGCTGCCAGGTGGTTTGTGGAGGCGTCTCTGGGGGTGTGTCCTGGGGGGTGGTGGTGCTGCCAGGTGGGTTGTGGAGGCGTCTCTGGGGGGGTGTTCTGGGGGGTGGAGGCGTCTCTGGGGGTGTGTCTGGGGGGTGGTGGTGCTGCCAGGTGGGTTGTGGAGGCGTCTCTGGGGGTGTGTTCTGGGGGGTGGAGGCGTCTCTGGGGGTGTGTCCTGGGGGGTGGAGGCGTCTCTGGGGTGTGTGGAGGGAGGTGGTAGGGATGTGGAGGGGTGTCTGGGGGGTGGAGGCGTCTCTGGGGGTGTGTCTGGGGGGTGGTGGTGCTGCCAGGTGGGTGTGGTGGCGTCTCTGGGGGTGTGTTCTGGGGGGTGGAGGCGTCTCTGGGGTGTGTGGAGGGAGGTGGTAGGGGATGTCTGGGGGTGGAGGGGTGTCTGGGGGGGTCTGGTGGGCTGTGGAGGCGTCTCTGGGGGTGTGGATGCGTCTCTGGGGTGTGTGGAGGCGTCTCTGGGGGGTGGAGGCGGCTCTGGGGGTGTGTCCTGGGGGTGTGTCTGGGGGGTGGTGGTGCTGCCAGGTGGGTTGTGGAGGCGTCTCTGGGGGTGTGTCCTGGGGGTGTGTCTGGGGGGTGGTGGTGCTGCCAGGTGGGTGTGGAGGCGTCTCTGGGGGTGTGTCTGGGGGGTGGTGGTGCTGCCAGGTGGGTGTGGAGGCGTCTCTGGGGGTGTGTTCTGGGGGGTGGAGGCGTCTCTGGGGGGTGGAGGCGTCTCTGGGGGGGTGGTGGTGTTGCCAGGTGGGTGTGGTGGCGTCTCTGGGGGTGTGTTCTGGGGGGTGGAGGCGTCTCTGGGGGTGTGTTCTGGGGGGTGGAGGCGTCTCTGGGGGGGGTCTGGTGGGCTGTGGAGGCGTGTCTGGGGGGGTCTGGTGGGCTGTGGAGGCGTGTCTGGGGGGGTCTGGTGGGCTGTGGTGGCGTCTCTGGTGGGGTCTGGTGGGCTGTGGAGGCGTGTCTGGGGGGGTCTGGTGGGCTGTGGTGGCGTCTCTGGGGGTGTGTTCTGGGGGGTGGAGGCGTCTCTGGGGGGTCTGGTGGGCTGTGGAGGCGTGTCTGGGGGGGGTGTCCTGGGGGTGTGTCTGGGGGGTGGTGGTGCTGCCAGGTGGGCTGTGGAGGCGTCTCTGGGGGGGGGGTGTTCTGGGGCATGGAGGCGTCTCTGGGTGTGTGGGGTGTCTGGGGGTGGTGGTGTTGCCAGGTGTTCTGTGGAGGCGTCTCTGGGGGTGTGTCTGGGGGTGTGGAGGTGTGTCTGGGGGGGTGGTGTTGCCAGGTGGGTTGTGGAGGCGTCTCTGGGGGTGTGTCTGGGGGGTGGTGGTGCTGCCAGGTGGGCTGTGGAGGCGTCTCTGGAGTGTGTGGAGGGAGGTGGTAGGGGATGTCGGGGGGTGGAGGGGTGTCTGGGGGTGGAGGCGTCTCTGGGGGCGGTTTAGGGGTGTGTGGGGGGTGGAGGCATTTCTGGGGAGGGGTGGAGGCGTTTCTGGGGAGGGGTGGAGGCGTCTCTGGGGAGGGGTGGAGGCGTCTCTGGGGAGGGGTGGAGGCGTTTTTGGGGAGGGGTGGTGGCGTCTCTTGGGGGGGGGGTGGAGGCGTCTCTGGGGGTTGGGTGGAAGCATCTATGGGGGGGTGAAGGCGTCTCCGGGGGGGGGTGGAGGCGTCTCTGGGGATGGGTGGAGGCGTCTCTGGGGGTGTGGAGGCGTCTTTGGGGTGGGTGGGTGGAAGCATCTATGGGGGAGTGAAGGCGTCTCTGGGGGGATGGAGGCGTCTCTGGGGGTGTGGATGCGTCTCTGGGGGGGGGGAATGGAGGCTTCGCTGGTCAATACCTCTGATATACAGGTCTGTGTCTGAGACATTATCTAGTTTCCACTGCTGTTAATTATGTTGTGTTATCAGGGGAAGCATGGAGCCCCCACGAGACCTCTGGGGTCAAGGTGGAGCCCCCACGAGACCTCTGGGGTCAAGGTGGAGCCCCCACGAGACCTCTGGGGTCAAGGTGGAGCCCCCACGAGACCTCTGGGGTCAAGGTGGAGCCCCCACGAGACCTCTGGGGTCAAGGTGGAGCCCCACGAGACCTCTGGGGTCAAGGTGGAGCCCCCACGAGACCTCTGGGGTCAAGGTGGAGCCCCCACGAGACCTCTGGGGTCAAGGTGGAGCCCCCACGAGACCTCTGGGGTCAAGGTGGAGCCCCCACGAGACCTCTGGGGTCAAGGTGGAGCCCCCCACGAGACCTCTGGGGTCAAGGTGGAGCCCCCACGAGACCTCTGGGGTCAAGGTGGAGCCCCAAGAGACCTCTGGGGTCAAGATGGAGCCCCCACGAGACCTCTGGGGTCAAGGTGGAGCCCCCACGAGACCTCTGGGGTCAAGGTGGAGCCCCCACGAGACCTCTGGGGTCAAGGTGGAGCCCCCACGAGACCTCTGGGGTCAAGGTGGAGCCCCCACGAGACCTCTGGGGTCAAGGTGGAGCCCCCACGAGACCTCTGGGGTCAAGGTGGAGCCCCCACGAGACCTCTGGGGTCAAGGTGGAGCCCCCACGAGACCTCTGGGGTCAAGGTGGAGCCCCCACGAGACCTCTGGGGTCAAGGTGGAGCCCCCACGAGACCTCTGGGGTCAAGGTGGAGCCCCCACGAGACCTCTGGGGTCAAGGTGGAGCCCCCACGAGACCTCTGGGGTCAAGGTGGAGCCCCCACGAGACCTCTGGGGTCAAGGTGGAGCCCCCACGAGACCTCTGGGGTCAAGGTGGAGCCCCCACGAGACCTCTGGGGTCAAGGTGGAGCCCCCACGAGACCTCTGGGGTCAAGGTGGAGCCCCCACGAGACCTCTGGGGTCAAGGTGGAGCCCCCACGAGACCTCTGGGGTCAAGGTGGAGCCCCCACGAGACCTCTGGGGTCAAGGTGGAGCCCCCACGAGACCTCTGGGGTCAAGGTGGAGCCCCCCACGAGACCTCTGGGGTCAAGGTGGAGCCCCCACGAGACCTCTGGGGTCAAGGTGGAGCCCCAAGAGACCTCTGGGGTCAAGATGGAGCCCCCACGAGACCTCTGGGGTCAAGGTGGAGCCCCCACGAGACCTCTGGGGTCAAGGTGGAGCCCCCACGAGACCTCTGGGGTCAAGGTGGAGCCCCCACGAGACCTCTGGGGTCAAGGTGGAGCCCCCACGAGACCTCTGGGGTCAAGGTGGAGCCCCACGAGACCTCTGGGGTCAAGGTGGAGCCCCCACGAGACCTCTGGGGTCAAGGTGGAGCCCCCACGAGACCTCTGGGGTCAAGGTGGAGCCCCCACGAGACCTCACGCCCCCACGAGGCCTCAGGGGGCAAGGTCGTCTCTCAAGTTGTGTGGGCGGATCTTAAACTCCTAACTTTGTGTCGCTAACTTTTCTCGCTCTGTTTAGGTACAGGTTGCTTGCTGGGGCTGCATACACGATAATAGGTCTCGAAGGATGTATACAGGGCTTGGAAGGGGTCTTGAAGGGTCCAGAGGAAGGGGTCTTGAAGGGTCCAGAGGAAGGGGTCTTGAAGGGTCCAGAGGAAGGGGTCTTGAAGGGTCCAGAGGAAGGGGTCTTGAAGGGTCCAGAGGAAGGGGTCTTGAAGGGTCCAGAGGAAGGGGTCTTGAAGGGTCCAGAGGAAGGGGTTTTGAAGGGTCCAGAGGAAGGGGTCTTGAAGGGTCCAGAGGAAGGGGTCTTGAAGGGTCCAGAGGAAGGGGTCTTGAAGGGTCCAGAGGAAGGGGTCTTGAAGGGTCCAGAGGAAGGGGTCTTGAAGGGTCCAGAGGAAGGGGTCTTGAAGGGTCCAGAGGAAGGGGTCTTGAAGGGTCCAGAGGAAGGGGTCTTGAAGGGTCCAGAGGAAGGGGTCTTTGTCTTCATAAGGTGTGAAGGATAGATGAAATTGTTAATGTAATAATCTAAGATGAGTTCTGATAAAGACCTTTTGTGCTTTCTGTAATGTTTTTTGCGCTACCGCTCACAGGATGGGTATAGGGTGCACAATAAATTAGCCGCCTCCGGTGGCAGCAGTCAAAATGTTCAGAATACCCCCGTTGAAGAGCAGAGGTGCAACAGGTACTCTGAGAGAGAACTATCAACATCAGAGGCCCGAGACTGTTCAACACGCTTCCACTACACATAAGGGACATAACTGGCCGACCCCTCACAGTGTTCAAGAGAGAACTATCAACATCAGAGGCCCGAGACTGTTCAACACGCTTCCACTACACATAAGGGGCATAACTGGCCGACCCCTCACAGTGTTCAAGAGAGAACTATCAACATCAGAGGCCCGAGACTGTTCAACACGCTTCCACTACACATAAGGGACATAACTGGCCGACCCCTCACAGTGTTCAAGAGAGAACTATCAACATCAGAGGCCCGAGACTGTTCAACACGCTTCCACTACACATAAGGGACATAACTGGCCGACCCCTCACAGTGTTCAAGAGAGAACTATCAACATCAGAGGCCCGAGACTGTTCAACACGCTTCCACTACACATAAGGGACATAACTGGCCGACCCCTCACAGTGTTCAAGAGAGAACTATCAACATCAGAGGCCCGAGACTGTTCAACACGCTTCCACTACACATAAGGGACATAACTGGTCGACCCCTCACAGTGTTCAAGAGAGAACTATCAACATCAGAGGCCCGAGACTGTTCAACACTCTTCCACTACACATAAGGGACATAACTGGCCGACCCCTCACAGTGTTCAAGAGAGAACTATCAACATCAGAGGCCCGAGACTGTTCAACACGCTTCCACTACACATAAGGGACATAACTGGCCGACCCCTCACAGTGTTCAAGAGAGAACTATCAACATCAGAGGCCCGAGACTGTTCAACACGCTTCCACTACACATAAGGGACATAACTGGCCGACCCCTCACAGTGTTCAAGAGAGAACTATCAACATCAGAGGCCCGAGACTGTTCAACACGCTTCCACTACACATAAGGGACATAACTGGCCGACCCCTCACAGTGTTCAAGAGAGACCAATGGACCACGCTGTAGGGACCAGGGACCACACTATAGGAACCAGGGACCACGCTGTAGGGACCAGGGACCACACTATAGGAACCAGGGACCACGCTGTAGGGACCAGGGACCACACTATAGGAACCAGGGACCACGCTAGAGGAACCAGGGACCACACTGTAGGGACCAGGGACCACACTATAGGAACCAGGGACCACGCTATAGGGACCAGGGACCACGCTGTAGGAACCAGGGACCACGCTATAGGGACCAGGGACCACGCTATAGGAACCAGGGACCACGCTATAGTAACCAGGGACCACGCTGTAGGGACCAGGGACCACACTATAGGGACCAGGGACCACGCTATAGGGACCAGGGACCACGGACCACGCTATAGGGACCAGGGACCACGCTATAGGGACCAGGGACCACGCTGTAGGGACCAGGGACCACACTATAGGGACCAGGGACCACACTATAGGGACCAGGGACCACACTATAGGGACCAGGGACCCAGCAGGCGGCCATGAGCGGTGCCACAGTTGGAATATCAAATGACCAATATTGTTTGGCTCACAAAATATCATTTGCGTCACCTTCTGCAGATAGCATTTAGTTCCCGTTTGGTGATAGTGAGATAGTGACCATAGATCACTGTACACGTGTAGTGCTCGTGTCACTGCCCAGGCACTGATGGAACAACCAGATATGCTAATTCTGGTTGTGGAGGCCAGTGGCCAGGCCTCCACACCCATAACAGGTGTTGTGGAGGCCACTGTGGCCTCTGGCCTCCACACCCATAACAGGTGTTGTGGAGGCCAGTGGCCAGGCCTCCACACCCATAACAGGTGTTGTGGAGGCCAGTGGCCAGGCCTCCACACCCATAACAGGTGTTGTGGAGGCCACAGTGGCCTCCACACCCATAACAGGTGTTGTGGAGGCCACTGTGGCCAGCCTCCACACCCATAACAGGTGTTGTGGAGGCCAGTGGTCAGGCTCTACACCCATAACAGGTGTTGTGGAGGCCACAGTGGCCAGCCTCCACACCCATAACAGGTGTTGTGGAGGCCAGTGGCCAGGCTCTACACCCATAACAGGTGTTGTGGAGGCCACAGTGGCCAGCCTCCACACCCATAACAGGTGTTGTGGAGGCCAGTGGCCAGGCTCCACACCCATAACAGGTGTCGTGGAGGCCACAGTGGCCAGGCCTCCACACCCATAACAGGTGTTGTGGAGGCCACAGTGGCCAGCCTCCACACCCATAACAGGTGTTGTGGAGGCCACAGTGGCCAGCCTCCACACCCATAACAGGTGTTGTGGAGGCCACAGTGGCCAGCCTCCACACCCATAACAGGTGTTGTGGAGGCCACAGTGGCCAGGCCTCCACACCCATAACAGGTGTTGTGGAGGCCACAGTGGCCAGCCTCCACACCCATAACAGGTGTTGTGGAGGCCACAGTGGCCAGCCTCCACACCCATAACAGGTGTTGTGGAGGCCACAGTGGCCAGCCTCCACACCCATAACAGGTGTTGTGGAGGCCACAGTGGCCAGCCTCCACACCCATAACAGGTGTTGTGGAGGCCACAGTGGCCAGCCTCCACACCCATAACAGGTGTTGTGGAGGCCACAGTGGCCAGCCTCCACACCCATAACAGGTGTTGTGGAGGCCACAGTGGCCAGCCTCCACACCCATAACAGGTGTTGTGGAGGCCACAGTGGCCAGCCTCCACACCCATAACAGGTGTTGTGGAGGCCACAGTGGCCAGCCTCCACACCCATAACAGGTGTTGTGGAGGCCACAGTGGCCAGCCTCCACACCCATAACAGGTGTTGTGGAGGCCACAGTGGCCAGCCTCCACACCCATAACAGGTGTTGTGGAGGCCACAGTGGCCAGGCTCCACACCCATAACAGGCGTTGTGGAGGCCACAGTGGCCAGGCTCCACACCCATAACAGGTGTTGTGGAGGCCACAGTGGCCAGGCTCCACACCCATAACAGGTGTTGTGGAGGCCACAGTGGCCAGCCTCCACACCCATAACAGGCGTTGTGGAGGCCAGTAGAGGGAGTGTATCATATATATATATATATATATATATATATATATATATATATATATATATATATATATATACATATGCATGCTTAGCTTGTTCTACTAGAGAAAAAGACCTAACATGTGACGCGACACATGTCAGATGTTTGGACGTTATTCATATGTTAATGGCAGTTTGATGGTGAGTGAGTGAGTGTAGCAAGTGTTCAACCCCCCCCCCCCCCACCTCCCCTTCACCCCCTCCCCTCCCCTTCTCCCCTTCCCCCCCTCCCCTCCGCCCCCCCTCCCCTCCCCCCCCCCGGTGGATGAGGGAGAGAGGGGTATGAAGGGGCAGGCACAGCCCCTTCACATCCCCCTTCCTCCTCAAGCGTAAGGTTAAGAGGCTGGTGACGCCGGGGGGGGGGGGGCAGGAGGGGGCGGCTCAGCGCGCCAGCCGCCCTGTGTGGCCGCCATCTTGGGTAATGAATTCAGTGGTGTGTGACTATTTTAATCTTCAGGCGTGTATGACTGTGAATATATTACTGGTTTTGGTGAGAGGAGGGGGGGGGTTATTGGGTGGGGTGGGGGGGTTGTTATAGCGTGGGGGGTTATTGTGTACAAAATACCATATAAGTAGAACTCCCAGAACCCCATCAACCAGGTATCAACCAGGTAACCATCAAATCTGCCCATAGTAGGAAAGCAAAATGTCAACGATTTGGGAATAATGATGTCTGACGACCTAACGTTTAGGGAGCATAACCAAGCAAATATTGCGTCAGCCAGAAAAATGATAGGATGGATTACGAGAACTTTCAAATCCAGGGATCCCATCACAATGGTTGTACTCTTCAAGTCACTTGTGTTGTCCCGTCTTGAGTACTGCTCAGTACTCACTTCCCCCTTCAGAGCAGGAGAGATTGCTGAAATAGAGGGAATACAGAGAACATATACGGCACGCATAGACGAGATAAAGCACCTAAATTATTGGGATCGTCTCAAAGCTCTCCAAATGTACTCACAAGAAAGGAGACGAGAGAGATACCAAATAATATACACCTGGAAGATACTGGAGGGCCAGGTCCCAAATCTACACAGTAAAATAACAACATACTGGAGTGAACAACTCCCAGAACCCTATCAAGCAGGTCACCCCCACCCCCCCACACCACAGCTACCCCCCCCACACACACCACAGCTACACCCCCCCACACCACACCACAGCTACACCCCACACACACCACAGCTACACCCCCCACACACACCACAGCTACACCTCCCCCACACCACACCACAGCTACACCTCCCCCACACCACACCACAGCTACACCTCCCCCACACCACAGCTACACCCCCCACACCACACCACAGCTACACCCCCCACACCACACTACAGCTACACCCCCCCACACCACAGCTACACCCCCCACACCACACTACAGCTACACCCCCCACACCACAGCTACACCCCCCACACCACACCACAGCTGCACCCCCACACCACAGCTACACCCCCACACCACAACTACACCCCCCCACACCACAGCTACACAACATACTCCAAGCCGTTTAAACAGGTGATGCAATTTGAGAGGTTGCCGGGAGGAGGCGGCGGTGGTGCAGTAACTCTGCCCTGTGTGTGAGGGGTGAACCCCTCCCCTACCCCCCAACCCCCCACTCTTCCCCCTCTCACCCCACTCCACCCCTCAACCCCCCAGAAACAATTCTGGTCTGGGGAATTACTGGCAAGAGGTGATAAATCCGCCAGAGACAGAGAAAGACCCTCCTAGGACTTATTGTTGAAGCTCCAGCTGTAGGAGCAGCAGCTGTGTGGAGCTGGAGCAGCAGCA